TCTCCTAGCGATATATACTCTAAATATATATATATATATATATATATATATATATATATATATATATATATATATATATATGGAAGCTGTTTTTTAGATAACTTTACATTTGTTGTAAGTATGTATGTAACTACAAAATTATGTCCACCTCAGTTGGCACCTTTATGCTAACTTGAACTTGTTTTTTTGTTTTTTTTTTACTATTTCAAACTTGGTTTTCGGCAAAATTTCAAACTTACCCCAAATATTGAATTGATATAGAAAATAAAAGGAGGTGACCAAGCCTTCACCTAATGACCATATGTTTTAATCATTCAGGTCAAAATGTATAACATTAAGATTCCAAATATACAATGTAGCTTCAGAATTATTTATTACTAATAAAAAAATAAATAATTCATTATATGTAGCTTTAGAATTCATACTTAGATTTTTAAAAATATCTACATTGATTGTCTAGGCTTTAGTTTTTGGCAGTTTAAAGGTAGTATACTTTATTACAATAGACATCCTAAGGGTAATAATATTATAAAAACAAGTATAATGCAAACTAATTGGATTTCAAAATTGAGGTGGGAGAGGACTGGTACCTGGAGGGTTGTAAGCAGAAGTGTATGTGTCATGGTGGTGGCAACATCGAGTGTAGTAACACTACATGTAAACCAGTCACCGAGAGCTGCCAGCTACACGAGGGAGAATACGAATGCAGACCCGTGGGTATGTCCAAGTATTACACACACAAACACACAAATACACATCCAACAAGTCCAAATTCTACTCAACTAAATTGATTCAATAGACTTTAATATTTCTTATTTAATTGTATCTTATAAAATGTGTTATTTACAGTATTTACTCTACATAAAGTATAACAGTTGCATACTAATGATGTTCACACTATGAGCCTACCAACTACTCAACGGGAATCCATAGAGGCTTCATATTAAGACTTAACTGATAGTGTTGGGAAGACTGACTCTTATTACTGATTTGTAATCTGTGACTGGGGTTGGTTGTTCTCCCTGTTCAGGCACTGGCATCTGCTCAGTGAGTGGCGATCCTCACTACAACACTTTTGATAAGGTGACTCATCACTACATGGGAGCCTGCTCCTACACCCTTACCAAAGTCTGCAATGTCTCCTCCGACCTGCCGTACTTCAGTGTGGACACGCAGAACGAGCACAGAGGAAGTAACAAGAGAGTGTCCTATGTCCGAGCCGTGGTTGTCAATGTGTACGGCGTGACAGTTATCTTTGGAAAAGGACGCACAGTCCAGGTGGGTCACATGACCTCACCCTGATCTCTGATCTTCACTGATGATTGAATAAAACTGAGGATAGTGACATAAAGCATATTAACCATATCTGTGACATATTGTGATTCCTAGGTTAATGGGACGGCGATGACCCCACCAGTCACCTCCATCAGAGGAGTCCACATTTATCTGAGTGGAAAGTTTGTGGTCCTGGAGACCGACTTTGGCCTCAAAGTCCGTTTTGATGGTAACCACCACGCTGATGTCACTGTGCCCAACTCCTACAGTGGCAAGCTCTGTGGCATGTGTGGTAAGGAAGAGGAGCTACATATTAAGAACACATTCAAATAAACAACAATAGGTTTCAGACTAACAGACATGTCATGGTTTGTTGTCTGAACAGGAAATTACAATGGAGATAAGAGAGATGACAACTTGAAACCAGACAATACACCAGCTGCTAACACCAATGAGTTGGGAGATAGTTGGCAGGTTCCAGATTCACGGCCAGAGTGAGTTACAAGTTCAAAACTCTGTATTCTGTTTCGTCCAAAAGCTGCTGTTTCCACTGTACTACAATAATAAGAGCAACAAGTCACACACTGATGGTCTAATGAATTGTCATCACCAGCTGCACCAATGGTGGAGGACAGGAGGATTGTGACAAAGACGTAGAGGAGGAAGCCAAGAAGCCCACAAACTGTGGCATGATTTCTGATCCTAACGGTAGTACGCACACACACACAGCCTAATTTTGACCTAACGCAAATTCTAATCCAATTCTTAGCTGCCAACCCCAAGGTTTGACAAACAAAGCCAATTTCCTTCATACTGTAAAACCATCAAATGTTTTCTTAGGCATCTTCAAGCCCTGCCATGCTGTGGTGCCACCGGGTCCTCACTTTGAAAGCTGTGTGTATGACATGTGTGCCAATGATGGTCAGACTGTAGCCTTGTGCCAGGCCATAGAGAGCTACGCTGACCTGTGTGCTGCTGCAGGAGTTCCCATTGACTGGAGAAAGAACAACACCTTCTGTCGTAAGTTTCTTTACCTCAGTACACTATTGGTTCCTGACATGCTCAGAGTTATTGACTGCACTCCAACAACTTTATAAATCTAAATATTATTTAATACTAATGCATAATTTTCTTGACACTTTTTGTTTTTAGTAGTCAGAATATTCATTTCAGATTAACTTTGATGAAAAAGACTGAACAGTTTTTAAACATTAGAGTCATTTATTAGTAAAAAAGGGAAACACTATTGAGGGGTGATTAAGTAGATCAAGTAGATGAAAGTTGTAAGTGTAGTCACTGCATAACAAGGACGATAAACAAATGTTTTTATTTTATATCCTTTTGTTACCCTCAAGCCATCAAGTGTCCCTCGGGCAGTGAGTACAACCACTGTGGCCCTGCTTGTCCTCAGCCCAGCTGCCAGAACCCTGCTGGCTCAGGAGGCTCCTGCAATGAGAAATGTGTGGAGGGATGTTTCTGCAAACCTGGCTTTGTTCTTAGTGGAGATAAATGTGTTCCTCTCAGTGAGTGTGGATGCACCGATGATGATGGAAACTACCGGCCGGTAAGTGCGCCTGTGCTCAACAGGAAAGTTTGACTTAAAACCAGAAAACAATGATTGTATTTTTAATGTTCTTTGTCTCTCTGCTGGAGCCATGTTTTATAAAGATCTATTTAAGAATATATATATATATATATATTCCAATAGACTGCCTAAAACCCCAACATCTGCGTATATTTTTTGTCTGTTAGCTTTTTTTGTATAAAGTTATATTAATTGTTTTTCACAAGCCAGCTACTGTGGGGAACCCAGTACTATAACGGTACACAGATCGCAGTAGTAGAAGTAGAAGTTTTTTTCAGATAAGAGTTCTATATCTTTTTAGTCAAACTAGCGGATTTATTTATTTTTATAGAGTTATAAAAACAAAGTTTGTTTGCAAAAAGAATCTCAGTCCTTAAATTATTTTTGATGATTTGGGTCAGCTGCCATGGAATACTATCACGATGCGAAATAATAATTTTGAAAATTATTTTTCAAAATATTTTTGATGGTTTGGGTCAGCCGCCGTGGAATACTATTACGATGCGACAAGAAAATGTTATGTTCAATATATTTGTTATTTGTATTAGAAAAATTGAAGTTTTTTTAAAAATATATATTTTTCAAGTTGTGTAATCTTTTTGTAGGAATGTGTTGACTTGAAGGCAGTTTTTTAACAAAATGGCGATGTACATATCACAAAAATCAATATATATATATATATATATACACTCTACATATGTGTTTGTATAGACAGGAGACACTTGGTTCACAAAAAGGGACTGCTCAGAGCGCTGTAGGTGTAACGGCAACAACACCACCACATGTGAGCCATGGCAGTGCAGCCCTGCACAGGAGTGTAAGGTGGTGGACGGAGTACTGGATTGTCACTCTACAGGTAAACTAGACTGAATTATAATTTGTGAATGAAAAACCTCAACAATGCTAATACATTAGCTGTGTGGCTATTTGACTTTAAGACAGAGAAAATTAAATTTGCCTTGTTAGTTGTTTTTCAGTTTGTTTGTTTGTAACTGGCATTCGAAAGCGCCTTAAGTTGTGCAAATGCAGCAGACATGAAAAAAAAAGCTTAAAAGCCTGTATCACAACACTTGATAATTTTTTGATCACCTCTTTATTTGCGACAAGCGAGTTGTAGCGAATGACGCAATGATCAGCATAATCAATCCTCCAGGCTAACTTTGGCCCATACCTCTTCTTTTTCAATCGATCCCAATAAAACATAGCAGCGATGCTGGTGCCTAGACATGTCCATTTTATTCTTTTACACCATCGTTCACAAACTTCTCTGGTTAACTTCAGGGAAATGACACATGGATAAACTCGTTGCTGATTTGATGACTAGGTGCAATGCTGCTTGAAAAGTTCTACATCTTTTGCATTGCATCACATGCTCATTTACTGTATTTGGTGTGTCCTTTGAACATGTTTACTCAATTATGGATTTTAAGAATACGATTCCTTTCTTAGGTAAAGGAGTGTGTCATGTGGCTGGAGATCCTCACTACTACACCTTTGATGGAGTCATGCACACATTCATGGGCACATGCACCTACACGCTTGTGCAGGTCTGGGTTTATGTTGACTTGCTTTTATTGTTATGTCGTTAATGATTTATTAAACACTAATAACCTTTTTTTTTTGCTGAATGGTTCAGGTGTGCAACACCACCCAGGTCACCACTTTTAAGATTGTAGGTAAAAATGAGGAGCGTGGCCAGTCTGAGGCCTCCTATCTGCGCTCTGTCAAAATCTACCTCCCTGGTGATATTGTTATCGAACTGCAGAAGAGCCGCAGAGTGTCGGTGAGAAAAGTTAGATTTTTCTTACAATTAATTCGAATTGTCCTGTTGTCAAGTATATAGGAGCTTTTTTATGTCTGTCATGCCTTAGGCAAATGGAAGGAGAGTGAAAACACCATATACTACCGATGTAGCTAAGGTCATAACCAGTGGAGCCTACAGTTTGGTGGACACTACCTTCGGCCTGCAGGTGAAGTTTGATGGAGTACATCACCTGGAGATAACTGTTCCTGGAGAATACTTCAACAAGGTACTGACGTTAAAAACTGCCTTGCCCTCAAAAACAAAACATCTCACTGTATAATGTTTTTAAACTTTGCTTTCTCTCTTTAGCTTTGTGGTATGTGTGGAAACTACAACAAGAACTCCTCTGATGATAACCTGATGCCCAACAAGATACCAGCCAAGGACGTGATAGAACTGGGCAACAGCTGGAAGTCGGAAGGAGACAGTGATCCAGGGTTTGTGTTTTAGAAAAATATCCATCCATTCATCCATCTAGCATCCATCCATTGATCATCTATGTATCCATGCATCACACCCACCCATTCATCTTCCCATCTGTCTATCCATACATACTGTACATCTAGTGATCCCTCTCGTGTTGCGGTAGTTACGTTATCGAAATTGCGAAGTAGAGGTGAGATGTTACATTATTTATGTATATATATTTACCCTTTACAAACCTCCCCACACTGTTATTAACAGTCAAACAACAACAACAGTGCCCTCCTTGTCCAACTTAGGTTATTGCCCTATAGTAATTAAATGCCCATATGCAGTGGAACCTCGAGATACAAGCACCTTGACATACAAGTTTTTTGACATACGAGCAAGCCACAGAGCAAATTTTTGCTTCAAGATACGAGTAAAGACTCGAAATATGAGCACGCTTACAGACGCCGATGTAGGTGGCCAAGCATTCGAAGCAGCCCACGCCGCCTCACTCGTTCACTTTACGTGTTCATCCACTTCCGTATGCATCTCCTGCGAGTCTTCCGTATTGTGTTTGCATTATCTACGTGATTTTCAATCTATTTTGTGCATTATTCTTCATAATAGTGATAAGTCCTAAGAAAGTGAGTGGTAAGAATGGTAGTGAGAAGAAGAAACGCATGATGATCATGGAAATAAAGCATGAAATTGTTGATAAATATGAGCGTTATGCCCGCTGAAGAGAGAATACATATCGAAAAAGGAGGAGACTCAGAGGAAGACCCAGGACCCGCTGGAGCGACTACGTTGCTCGGCTGGCCTGGGAACGCCTCCGGATCCCCCCAGAAGAGCTGCAGGAAGTGTCTGGGGGGAGGGAAGTCTGGGCGTCCCTGCTCCAACTGTTACCCCCGCTACCTGACCCCAGCTAAGTGGAAAAGTACGAGAGGAGAAGTTAATAAAAAAAAAAAACGTAATTAAGTTAATTCTACGTTTATGTAAGTTACGTAGTGTACGTGTAAGGTACGCTACGGAATCAAGTGTCTACGTACGGCCCAACTCTCTTCCTCCCTTCCTCCCTCCCTCCCTCCTCCTCCTCATTCATCCATCTATTTATCTATTTATTTATCCATCCATCCACCCATGTATCAATTTCTCCATCCATCTGTCCTCCCATGGATACATTTACTCAAGTATACTATGCATCCTCCCATCCTTTCAGCCATCTAGTTATCCATCCACATATCCGTCAATCCATCCATCAATCTATCCATCCATCCATTTACCCTTTCAATATTCCTCTATGATACATTCATCCATCCATAATATCAACCATCCATCCGTTTCCCCATACATCCATCCTCCCATTCATCTAACCGTCATTCCTTCACCACACACAGAATTATAAGCAATATGTCAGACAACGCTGTGGAATAAAATTCTTAGTCATACTTCCCCATCTTTGGCTCTCTCCTATCAAGCTGCCAGCCAGACACTCGTCCAGACATCCATCCCAACTGCACTGCAGAGGAGGAGAAGTTGTATGAGTCTCAGTGTGCAGCTATAATTCTTTCTGACAAGTTCAATCCCTGCCACACTCTGTTGCCCCCTGAAGCTTTCCTGGGTAACTGCATCTATGACATGTGCGAGTACAATGGAATGCAGGCAACCCTCTGCGACAATGTGGAGGCTTACGCTCAGGCGTGCCAGAGCGCAGGGGTCACCATCAAATGGAGAAATTCCACATTTTGTCGTAAGTTAAAAGAATAAAATCAAAACAGTACAATTAGAAGATCTCTGAACCAGATAGGTTCCTTTTATATCACCTGGTATCTCCATTGTCCTCCCTGCAGCCATGCCCTGCGCAGCCAACAGCCACTACTCTGACTGCACACCTCCATGCCCTCCAACTTGCTCGGACTTCTTCCCCACCACCTGCCATCTCCCACCTGCCACCTGTGTAGAGGGCTGCATGTGTAATGCTGGCTTTGTGCTCAGCGATGGCAACTGTATCCATATGGACCAGTGTGGTTGTGTAGACAAGGATGGAGAGTACCACGAAGTGAGTGATTTCAAATTCTTGTTATTTGAAGTAAAAATGTAGGAAGGTTTTTTAAGTACAAATCGCTTAAGTTATTTCAAATATGGCAGCAATTTCTTATTTATGAAAATTAATTTTCTTTTTATTAACAGTATTTCTATTCTTGCTTTTGTCTTTTATATGTAATTTCTATGGTTTGAGCTAATTTTAGTTATTTATTTATGGATGAACTTTGACTCGACTTGACTGTGACCATTTTTGTTATTGTATGAGAAACTGACTTTAGTCAGACACAAAACCACTCAGAGACAAATGTAAGGATTTAAACATCTCTAGGTGTTTCCAAATTATATAATTTATTTATATTATCATTATACTTCTGCCTTTTCCCTGCAACACCCACATTTCCTGAATAGATGGCATAGAAAATGATAAAAGCATGTTAGCCTTTATGCATGACTTTCACATGTCATTTATCCTAGTTCATGCGAAAGCTCCATCTACCTGCTTCTGACTCGGCCCTCTTGTTCAATTTTATTATAGTTATTAAATCCCCATATCCAGTGGAACCTCGACATACAAGTTTTTCGACATACGAGCAAGCCACAGAGCAAATTTTTTGCTTCAAGATACGAGTAAAGACTCGAAATATGAGCACGCTTACAGACGCCGATGTAGGTGGCCAAGCATTCGAAGCAGCCCACGCCGCCTCACTCGTTCACTTTACGTGTTCGTCCACTTTCGTATGCATCTCCTGCGAGTCTTCCGTATTGTGTTTGCATTATCTATGTGATTTTCTCTCTATTTTGTGCATTATTATTCATATACATTATTATATACTTCATTATACTTCCGCCTTTTCCCTGCAACACCCACATTTCCTGAATAGAGGGCATAGAAAAGGATAAAAGCATTTTAGCCTTTATGCATGAGTTTCACATGTCATTTATCTTAGTTCACGCGAACGCTCCATCCCGCGAGTCAAAAAGTTTGCCCACATCTGTTTTAGATGATGAAATCAAAGGACTGAAGAAGAAGTTGTGGTTTCATCAATTTAGGTCAGGGGTCACCAACTTGGTGCCCTTTTTAAATCAGTTACACTTGCAATGATGTTCAAGTGAGTGCAATTATGATGCTTAGAGGAATGTCTGCTACTGTATTTCCTAGAACTTCGTGGAGCAGGGTGATGGTTTTTTTGTTATTATATTATTGGAGAAGTGTGTGTTAAACAAGTAGCTCTTTGTATTCCTCAGTACCCTTGAACTAGCTTTCAGTTTCAAAAAGGTTGGTGACTCTGCTTTAGGTCTATCGTATCGACTCTGTTGACACCTCTGACTCTGATTCTCTTTCATTTACTTGTGACAACATATGTAGGTGGGAGATTCATGGCTGACAGACAAATGTGTTGAGTCATGCAAGTGTGAAAGAGGAGGCAAAATTAACTGTAAAGACCACAGCTGCCATGCAGAGTCGGTGTGCGACCTGGACAAATATGGGAACATCTACTGTAGACCTGCCAGTGAGTTGACCTCCCTGTGTAACATCATGACCAGTTCAGTTTCTCCCCTACAGATGTTTTGCCAATTATTTGCTGTATTTACCTTTTCAGAGTTTGACCGGTGTCAGATCTCTGGAGATCCTCATTACAGAACCTTTGATGCCTTCAGCCATCACTTTCAGGGACCGTATACATATGTTCTGACTCAGGGATACAACCTTCAATCCAATCAGCCTCCTCTGTTGGTTAGAGGGAAAAACATCAGGCGTGGAGGAAACAGGAAGATATCCTTCCTGGATGAAGTGTATACCGATGTTTATGGAGTTTATGTCCGCTTCAGACAGAAAAAGATAGTCTTGGTGAGTTTCGTGTCCGATGGATTATTTTGATAGCATTTCCCTGCAGTGCTAATAATGCATTGGTTATATTGTAGGTGAATGGAGAACTTGTTGCACCTCCGCTCAGTCCAGTTCCTGGCTTGACCATCACAATGAACTCCATGTATGTGCAGCTCACCACTGACTTTGGACTCACTGTACGCTATGATGGCAAAACGCGTGGAGGTAATTAAGAAAATTAAGAAGAGTGTGTAAGCCTTTAAAAAAAAAGAAAAAGATCTTGATATGTGAAACATTTGGAAGTCATTTTTTTGGTCAATTCATGGCTGTACTGTACTGTGTGTTATCAGAGATCATCCTGCCCAGCACCTACAGGCACTCCGTTAGAGGATTGTGTGGAAACTACGATGGTATCACCAGAAACGAGTACATGAAGCCAGATGGGACAGTGGTCAGAAATGTGAATGATTTTGGAGAAAGTTGGAGGGTCGGTGACCGTCAGGGTGATGGAGCCAGGATCTCCAATCTTCCATTCACCGTCCATGCTCACAGGTCAAGCCACGGCTGCACACACTACAACACTTACAAATATGTAGTCACTAAATGTATTCTGATTGGATGTATTTTCTCAAATTGGAAATATAATTTAATTTCATTGTACCGTATTTTCTGGACTATAAGTCGTACCGGAGTATAAGTCGCATCAGCCAGCTAGAGTACCCTCTAGAGGCTGTCAGTGTGAAAATAACGAACATGCAAATTTTTAGTGGTACAAGAGTAGCAGATACTTGCACACAAGCCTAGAGTGCCCTCTAGCAGCTGTGAAAATAACAAATCTCCAATGTTTCTAGCCTTGCTGTCCTTGCCCTCCCCTGTAATTATACCTACATTCAGAGTTCCAAACTTCAGACCAAAAAGAGAAAAGAGGAAGAATACTCTTTTCTCTTTTTCTCCTAACCAAACGCCCTCCTCTTCTTCTCTGTTTTTGACCAACAGTAGTCCAATTTCCATCAGTGCCCTGTAGGTCAACAGCACTGTTGGTGGTCGTTGTTAACACGGGCCTCGACCGATCCAGTATGGAAATCGCTTTAGTGATTTGCATATTTGATTTGGCTAAAAGTTTTACGCCAGATGCCCTTCCTGATGCAACCCTCACCATTTATCCGGGCTTGGGACCGGCACTATAAAACACTGATTCGTGTACCCTAGTGGCTGGTTTAACAAATGTGTGAAATTATATATTTTAATGTATAAGTCGCGAACCCAGCCAAAGGATCAATAAAAGTGTGACCTATAGTCCGGAAAATATGGTACCTTGTTTATCGTCCCAATATGCACATTAGTTTGTGTTTTACCAACAAGCCTGTGTACAACAAATAAATCCCTGTCACCGAACGCACAGCTTTTCTATGCTAGAACAAAGTGGATACCCATTTTGGACTAGGCTTTAATTTGACCCATAGGCAAGAGGATATTCTAAACAGTATGACATAAAAAAAAAATCCAATTTACCTCAGATTGTAGATGGTAGGGATGGCTCAATACCACTTTTTTGATGTCCGATACCAACACTGCATCTTGGACCTTCTTTTCTTTGCGCAGTTACCGTAATTTCAGGTCTATCAGCCGCTAGACAATGATACGGATCATTTTTGGATTTCTACGAACTAACGAAGTTTATACTGCTAGCGATCAATGACTTTTCTGATAGGTTACTGTGTGTTATGCTAGTGGCTGATAATAAAGACCCCAACTTTCCTGTTTCTGTTTACCTCTGCCGCAGACAGAGCTAATGTTAGCTTTGGCCCTGCAGCAGATCACTAAGTCTCCCCTGTGCATTCCAACTACGGTTGGGGCGCCAAAGCAGGACAGAGCTAATGTGTAAACAGCCGTGTTACAGGCACTGTTCAGAAAAAAATTTATTTAATTAAAAGTGAAAAAATGTAACTATGTAAATATCCCATGTTACAATGTGGACACCTGTCGATCTGTGACAGAAGAGTGTCAGCTAAGATGAAAGGAAAGGTTTACAGGACAGTGGTGATACCAGCCATGATGGTTTAGAGACACTAGCAATAGGAAGAAGATAGGAGGCAGAGCTGGAGGTGGCAGAGTTAAAGATGCTAAGATTTTCTTTAGGAGTGACAAGGATGGACAGGATCAGGAATGAGGTCATTAGAGGGACAACACAGACAGGAAGGTTTGGAGAAAACGCTAGAGAAGCCAGATTGAGATGGTTTGGACATGTGCGGAGGAGGGACAGTGGATACATTGGGAGAAGAATGTTAGAGATGGAGCTACCGGGGAGGAGGAAGAGAGGAAGGCCAAAGAGGAGATATAAGGATATAGTGAGGGAGGACATGCAGATAGTTGGAGTCAGAGTAGAAGATGCAGAGAACAGGGTGAAATGGAAAATGTTGATACGCTGTGGCAACCCCTGAAAAAGGGACAAGCCCAAAGGAAAAGATCTAGAAGACAATGTGGACACCTGCGGCTTATAGAGAAGTGCAGCCTATATATGTAGAATTCTTTTTTTCTTTTGAAATTTAGTGGGTGTAGTTTATAACCCAGTGTACTCATTATTCCGGAATTGAATGGTAGGTTGAAAATTTGGGTAAAGTATGGTATAGAATTGGTTATATCGTTGTTTTTTTCAATGTTCAACTCAATTCAGACCATTATCAGATTAATACCAATCTTGAGGATCAGATCAAGCCATCCCTGATACATAGTAGATCTTGTTCCTGCAAGGATAAGTCTTTCATTGAAATAAAAATTAGAAAACTATTTAGCGTGCTGTCCACTTTTCTGCTCTTTGGTCCACTCGTACCAGTTTAGATGATATTGTACCAACTGGCAGAAAAAAAATATCCAATAGGTAGGCCTCATTTTGCTCAGGTCTGTGTTTGACGTTTAAGCGGCAACTGAAACTAAACTTAAATTAATTATCTTTTTCTCTGTTTGTTCTGCAGGCGTGAGGTGGAGACTGACCTTGACTCAGGATTTGTGACATCAGACTGCTCTCAGTCCCAGCTTAACGATTACAGCAGCCTGTCACAGTGCGGTGCCATTTCTGATCCCAGTGGCGCCTTCTCTGCCTGCCATGCCACTCTCCCACCACAAACCTTCCAGGAGTGAGTAGCCTTCTCATAGAGGACTTTCTAGTTGAAAGACTTAAGGCAGACATGCAGTGTACGATATTTAGAAAAAAATGCTCAATTATAGGTAGTGATGCACCAAAATAAAAATTCTTGGCCAAAACCGAAAACCGAAAATGAGGAAACCATAGCCGAAAACCAAAAGAAATTATTATGCCAATTATTAGTACCATTCAATATATGGCTATGACTGTGAACTAAACCTCAATAAAATCAATAAACTGCAATTGCATAAATAAATAATAAATAAATAATTGTCAAAATAATTAATTGTCAAATGTCTAGCAGAGAAACAAAATCAACTGATTCAGAATTAGATTAGGAATTCAGAACAGTATAGTTTACCTGTTATTATTATTTTAAGGAACTCTATTTCAGGACGTCACAGAACATATCACAGTGGTGCCTGCCCCTCATCTGGCACACTGTGGTGTAAGCTTCACTGTCTCCAAGTGGATTCTCTGTGTCCATCACAGCTCGGATCATTTCTCGTGCGCGCTGCTTTAATCCCGCATGCAAGTAATGACCGTTATAACATGGATCAAGTACAGTAGCGACGAAGTGCAGAGGATCTGATAGATAGATCTCAGTGAAATGTGTGCTGACAGACTCTATGAGTGTACTTTTCGCCCACTCTTAAAATGTTTTGCAAGTCTTTCTCAGATGTATATCTGCGGTGTGGACGTGTTAAAATACATCATGTTAACATCATAACGTCCTGTTTCAGCTGTGTTGTTTCAGTGATAAAAGTTTTTCATCCGAAAATTCGTTGCATCCCTAATTATAGGTTACACTGTGTAGTTTTAGTCTAAATTAATCTGCTCAAAATGTATGTGTTTACATTTTTTGCCAACTGAAAGATTCTGGGCTCCTCAGTATCACGATTTGACAGTTTAAGTTACGGGTCTCAAACTTAAATAGGTTGTATAAATTAATTCAGAGCCACATCAGTGTCCAATGTTCAATATAAATAAAAAAAAACATTTTCGGAGAGGAAATTTATTTCATATAAATATTGTATTATAATACAGTGCAATAGCTAGTACATTTACTTCTTACTGTTCTTACTTTGTGACCTAACTCAACATAGGTCTGAACTCATACTGTACATTAGTACGTACTGTATGTCACTCACCTATGCTAACATTGTTATCTAGGACTCAAGGAGTATGACTTACACTTGGGAGCTATAATGAAGGGCACAAAAACAACACAAATAAAAAAAAGCAAAAGTAGCATAATCTCATGTATGACAAGGCTGTCTTTGGTGTATAGCGCCACATTACAAACTGGTAAAACTCGCTGACAAGTTCCTGTGCGAACTGGTTTAATGCCATATCTCGGAATGATGGAACATTAAGAAGACTCTCTTAATACAGTATATTAATGGTAGAAAACACAACCACGAAAGCTCGAAGACATCGTAAACCTAGGACACCCTGTACTGTATAATACTACAATGCAAAAAGCTAGTACATGTATTACTTCACTTTTATTTTTTAAATTACCAAAAGTGTACAATTTTATTATTATTGACATCTATTATAGTTGCAGGCCAGACGTGGGTGGTCTGCAGGCCGGAAGTGGGCCACTGGCAGTGGTAGTTTGAGAGCACTGGTTCAAGTCATTAAGATTTCTTAGAGAGTTCAACTTTATAAATAACAAACTAACAAAACGTCTTTGTTTAGCTGTAATTTGAAAGCAAAAAAATTGCATAATCTATTTATTCGAAGCAAACCAAGTCCAGGCAGTTATGAGATTTTCATTCTGTGTTTTTTTTTTGTTGTTGTTGTTTGTTTTATTTTCAGTGACTGTGTGTATGACCTGTGTGCTGAAAGTGGAAACACACTGCTGCGCTGTATCAGTCTCGAAGCTTATGCTGTAGCCTGTCAAGAAGCTGGAGTCAAACTGGGAGCCTGGAGGCAGGGCTTGAACTGTGGTACGTGTGACATGTCTTTTTGTGTCAGTGCAGCCAGCCTTTGCCTTAACTATCTAGGGCTGTGTATTGTTATGACGCCCTTAGGAAGATTCTTTAGGTCACAATTTGATTCAACGTTAAACGAAAGCATTCGATATTGATTCATATCAAGCATTACTGCATTTATTTTTACTATCAAAAGTCATCAAGCGGGCCAGATTGAACCTCCTAGTGGGCCTAAATGGAATGAACTTAATGTTACACCACAGGAAAATATTATACTTGCAATACCAAATTCCTGCAATACAGTGCAAGTCGTAAGCAATTTACAGATACAAGCTACTCGAAATACACGTACATGAGTAAGTCACAAGTCTGCAACTAATGCAAACTCTTCCTCGGTATACAAGGAAACATTGAGTTACGAGTGCTCAACCGAGCTCCATTTTTCCACTCAACATTCTGTCCACTGTCTCGCTCACTGTCTCTCGCTGGGTTGTTTTACCTATTTTTATAACAATTATATAACATTTGTTCTTATTTTATTCTCATTATTTTATACTATCAATATATTATCATAGATAAAACATATCTATGTTTTTGATGTCTAGATGGGGGAAATTTAATTAAATAAGTAAGTATATTTCTGCGGGGCTGGAACAAATGAATTGGCTTTTATTTTTAATGGGGAAAATGCGGTCGAGACATTAGCGGATTGACACACAAGTGCTGTTAAGGAACCATCTATACTCGTATCTCGAGACCCCACTGTATAACTAATTTCAACATTGCTCTTTCTACCTGCACTGCTGCATCAAATTACATAACTGGCTTCTGGAAGAGGACAGTGACAGCATGTTGTCTGGTTAGCAACAGTCATATATATATATATATATATAAGTCAGACTAAACCGCTGTCTACTAAGTGAACTCGCTGATCACCCGTATTAAGTTATAGTAAACTAATGACATACAGTAGTTCATATCTATATACTTTATATGTTTGTCTGTCTCTTTTAGCCCTCAACTGTGATGTCAACAGCACCTATTCAACGTGCATGTCTCCGTGTCCTGCCTCCTGTGCTGACCTGGCAGCACCCTCAGAGTGTGAAGTCACATCCTGCATGGAGGGATGCCAGTGTGTCCCTGGCTTTGTCATGAGCAAAGGTTCATGTGTGGCGTACTCCGAGTGCGGCTGCACCTTCCTCAACAGATACTACACTGTGAGAGGCCTACCTTGACTTCTAATTGCCATTGTGTTCCGATGATAGTGATTCTGACGTCGACGTCGAACTCACATTCCCCCTCCTTGTCTCCTGTGTCCTTGTGTCTTTCAGCTTAACGAGAAGTTTGTGACTGAAGACTGTTCTCAGAGCTGTGAATGCACCAGCACGGGCGCCGTGTGTGAGCCCAAGAGCTGCCAAAGTGGACACGTGTGCGCCATCTATGACCTCAAAAGGGACTGCTACAGAGGTGTGTGTGTGTCTGTGTGTGTATGTCATACACCCTAGGATCTACATTACGTTCCATGGTTCATGGCCATAGTGAGATGTCACATGTCACATCATGTGAAAATAAGTGTCTATGTTCGTAAAGAACCGTTACATTGTTTTTTTTCTTTCCAGGAAAAAACAACAGTTTAAACTATACTATACTATACTATACTGCACTATACTGCACTATGCTATACTATACTACACTACACTATACTACACTGCACTATAGTATACTACACTATACTATACTACACTATACTTCTACACTATACTACACCATACTACACTACGCTACACTAAACTTAACTTAACTATACCACACTACTATGTATAACTATCGCATTATATATAGCTATATATTATAATATAAATGTATATAACTATATATATATATAAAATGAAATTAAAACTTCTGAAGTTGCAGTGTTTTCAAAGGTCAAATAAGAAATAAGCATAAGAAAACAAGTTGATATTCAGTTTGAATCAACAGAAAGCCAATGTTTCAACTTCATTAATCAATATTAGTGAAAATGTTCTTACCACATATAGAAATGCCGACCTATGATAAATTTGGAGTGGGCTTATGATTGTTCTTCATGCCCACATGCATGATGTCTACAAGTTTTATTTAGCCATTTCATATTTTTTTATTATTATATATTTTCTTATTATAATATTTATATANAGTATCGTAAAGTGTTAAAATGTGTCGAAACATAACGAAGAACATATTGGTACCAGGATTGACAACACTACTCAATATACTATATATATATATATATATATATAATATACATAATATAAATCCTCCCTTTCAACACTGCATTAATTGTGTTTACAAATCAGGAAATACTGCACACATCATTCGCAGCAGGTGATAAGCGGACTGGTTTTGAGAAATGTGAATGAAAGATGTAAATACATGAACAGCAGCTGCCGTAAAGCAATTTGAAAGGATCAACAGGGTTATATTTGAGTGAGACGTTTGTGATTTTTTTTGTGTGTGTGTGTGTGTGTGTGTCGCGTTGCAGCGAGTCCGTGCCTCACCGCTCCTTGTCTAAACGGAGGAATCTGCACAGAGGGCAGCAACAGCACCTACAGCTGTCAGTGTACAGAGGGCTTCGAGGGCGACCACTGTGAGGTGGAGAAGGATGTGACTGTAGGCGGAGGACTGGGTACGACCTGCTCACACACCACACTGTACACACCGACGGCGTTTGCCATTCTACACTAACAGGAATAAACCATAGTGATAAATGACAAAAATCTATTTTTACATGCAAATATATGAAGTCCCTGTACAATCAACTCGCGTTCATACTTAAAAAACGATACAGCGCTGTAGAAAATTGATAAATGAAATATCACATGATTTCAGTGTATTGACATTTTCTTACATCCCTAATTGCTTATATGTTACAGAAACCAAGTGGATCATATTGATTGCAGTCCTGGTCTCAGCTACCGTCATCATCATTGTGATCACTGTCACTTGTGTTTGTGTGCGCAAAGCCAAGTGAGTTTCAATCGCACACACCCGTGTATGTTTTAGCTGCTGCTGCCTGCTGCTGCCTCGGTTGTTGGTGCTATAGCTAATGCTACTGCATTCTACATCTTTTGCAATATTTGAATGAATTTATTATTATTATTTTCGATCTATTTTATTTCATTTGTGCCTGATATATAATGCTGGTGAAATTTTTTTTTGCAGACACGTGACCATTTATGAAAAACACAATTTTATTTCATTCCAGGTCACAGATTTATGTAATTCAGAAGCAGCTCAAGAATCAACACCACAAAGAGTAGGGTTTGATGCACTTACTGCATTTTATCCTACATATTCTACTCAGATATCTTTCCTTTGATTTTTTTTCCTGCTTATGCAATGTCTAGTTTATGGCAATTCAATAATAATCACCATCTGGAAAACATGAAAGTCATTCATCTGCTGGTTCTTCTGTCTCTACAGGAAAGCCATGTACCAGGACAGCAAAATTAGAATGACGTCAACAAGTAAGGACAATCACCATATGGTTCATCCATTTTTGTCTTACGTTGTCCACTCAATTCACTCAATTAATTTAGCTGCGTAAATGCATTCAATAATAATAATAATAATAATAATACATTTTATTTATAAGCGCCTTTCAAGTCACTCAAGGACACTGTACATAAAAATAAAATAAAAACAGATCATTATAAAACAGGGCATAGAAACACGTTTAAAATCAATGATGAACAGAAGCAAGGAGGAGGGAGGTTAGAGGGAGTATGCTGTCCGGAACAGGTGTGTTTTGAGTTGAGATTTGAAGGTGGGGAGACAGTCACAGTTACGGAGATCGGGTGGTAAGGTGTTCCAGAGATGGGGAGCAGAGCAGAGCAGAGCAGAGCAGGTGGGACAGAGAGGTGGATGGAGGAGGAGGATCTGAGGGACCGAGTGGGGGTTAAGACGTGGAGGAGGTCAGATAGGTGGGGGGGGGGGGC